GTTAAGAATAAAAAATAAAAAAATAAAAAAAGGAGGTGGACACGGTATACAGAGGAGTGGGAGGGGAGCGAGGGGAGACAATATCCCCGGAGCACGCGCCGCACCCGACATTGCGCTGCACCATGCACTTGCAAGTGCCCGCAGTGTAGCCAAATAATAAGTTTGTATGCCGACCGTGTTTGTTTGCACTCGGTGCCCGGCGCACGCCGCCGAGGCGCACGCGTGGGGGCGGCCACGGGCCATCTCGGGATAGTTGTGGAGGGACCACAAAGGAAAAGAAGAGCTATAAAAATTCATAAGATGCGTAAATCACCCCCCCCCCCCCGGCCCCCTTTACCCCCCAAACCTGCTCCTCCTCCTCCACCCCTACGCCTTTCGTCCTTACTCATGACCCTTATTCTTTGAACAACCAAATAAAATAGTAAAAAGAGATACGAAGCAAAAAGTCACGCCAGGAATAAAACGAATCGAAAATCCGTGACCTTGCCACGGTAAAAACAATGTCTCATTTTTTGAGGGAAAAGGGAAAACTTTGAGGAACTGCCTTGGTTTGAGGCTCCTAAGATTTCGAGGAGGTCTCGTCCCCCAAAAAATGTGGGGTTTTTCCTTATTGTTTCAGGGAGTTTCTTACAATCTGAGGTGAAATCTCAGGAGTTTTCCTGAAATATGGAAGGCCCTCAAAGTTTTCCCTTTTCCCTTCAAAAAAGTAGAAGTTGTTTTTACCGTGTGTAATTTATTTCACAGCAAATTTAACTTTGGAGCTAAGGACCATGAGCACGGAATGTCGAATGGGATAGAGGAGCAAAAACGTGGTAGGGGTGGTGTCCTACGCATCGTTTCAGCATCGAAAATGAAAATAAAGTTGACCTGAGGACGTGGGTCGAGCGATCACTTGTCGGTCACTGAAAACCCTGTTGCGTGAAGACCACACGACACATGAATTGAGGTCTTTTGAGAACTGAGGTATCTAAAGTGAAGTATGTGTCATGATGATCTTACCCGTTTACGCGGCTTAAAACTATATGTTTGAAGGTGCATCCGCAATACAACCCCTCGTAATAGGAAATACTGTGCACCCTTTACGTGGACTTTTCAAGCTAGCCCAGCGAGGCCAAAAGAAGCTACACAATTAGTTCCCGCACAGCTAATTAACCGACACTTCCACTGCCAACTTTTGGTTGGGCTAACTAGTACATGGTTGCCCAAGTGAATACTAGGCAACACTTTAGCTATGATGACTATGACTTCATCTGGAAAGTACGTCCGTCCTTCGCCGTTACGAACCTCACCAAGTTCATCCTCTCTGAGCTCTCACATACCGCCTCGTAGGTATGCAACATCTTGACTGCTGTGCATGCGTGTATTGCGGGTCGGCCTACCCCGAGTCTCACAGGCGCCGGGCTCCCGTACCTGGCCGAATGTATCGGAGAATCGCCAACGTACATTCTAGACGATCCCTGTTTCTCACTCAGCAAAGACTTTTCGTATGCGTTTATGTGTGCTCGCTGATTATTGTAGGAGGCTCCTTGGCGTACTCTGAAAAGTGTCCTCATAAATTTACAACATTTGTTGTGTTGTTTTTTTTTTTTACAAAATATGTTGTAAATTCACGACATGCTCATTCCTGCTTGTCGATCAATTCCAAGTCGATACAAAGTGTTTGTAAATTAAAAATTTCAAATGAAAATTTCACTACACACATCTTGGAAATCTTTCCCGTAAAACCTCACGAGACTATTTTTCACTGCAGTAGTATGGCGGCTCACACACACGGCACTCACTTCTGATCGCAAAGAGCTGGCCGCGAGGAGTAATCCCAGTGAAGCGCGACGCACGGGAGGCACAGACTGCGCGCGCACGACCCACATGCCGGTGACGCGCTGACGCGCGCGCACGCCGCTCAACGAGGCAGAGCACGCGGCCGCGGCCGCGACCACCAGCAGCACGCGCTGCACGGCCCCCTCCTCGGTCCGACCCGACCCTTGCGCGGCGCCCTGCGGAGAGCGACTGGGGGGCGCCTCTACTCTACGCCGCCGCGGTCGCGGTGCGGGCGTGACGCGCCGCCGGGCCGGGCCAGCGGGGGTGGGGAAGGACCAGGTGGTGGCGCCAAAGATTTCTAGCCGCGTGGGTTCCGTCAGTCAAGATTAAGGCGATATGCTGACGATCAGCACGACAGCATCAGCATCAACGAAAGAAGATTTACAGAAATACGCGATTGGCATCTGTGTGCACAAATGACCAATCGCAGGTCCGTACACACTAAACGTTTATGCATTTTATGCATAAAGATGCAGAATTTTATACAGCCATATGCACAAATTGTGTGCATAATTATTTACAAACTGTTCATAGTTATGAATAAAATTGGGCACAATATTATGGCTGTGTAAAATTCTGCATGTTTATGCACAACACAATGCATAAGGATTTAGTGTGTACTTATAGATCTTTTTTAACTGATGCTGTCAGCATATCGCCTTAATTTGATAGAACCATGTTCATAACTACTTAAAAAGAAAAAAAAGATGATGGTGATAATCATGCAATAAGGTTTACATGAATTTATAACGTATTGGATTTAATAAAGAATAAAATCATCACAGATGTGTATCAAAAGGTTACAACATATTTCACCAAATTGACCATGTCAATTCTAAAAGAAAAAAATTGTTGAAATGTGCCACTTTTGAACTTTCAGTGTCATAGACAGGTGGTCGTAAATTGCTTTGGGTGTAGTGTAACTTTTATGTCAATCTGGTATACATATATTATGACCTACAGTTCAAAAAGTATTGTAGAAAATAGAGGTAAGAGCTGCTTAGAAGCATTTTGCACTTAAACTTACACAAAACAACCCACAAAAACAACAATTAACTATATTTTACATATGAATATAGTAAACATTTACACAGGCAATATTGAGATCTGCCAAGAATTGAAAAAAATGGCATGGGTAATTTCACATTTATTTGTGAGATATTTCTTGAAGACGTTTTAATTGTTTAGTTAAATGATCCTTTTCAAGCTTTAATTTATTGACCTTACTCTCACTGTCACGGTAAAGCTTGTCTACTGTTGTGAAGAGAGGTAAGGAAACTAATTCAGCAATGTGACACATTGCTTTGGTGAGTTCTGTAAAAAATAATGGTGAGCATATTTTCTAACAAAAGATAAATGATAGCTGGAAATTGATAGAAACAAACCTGCATCATTGTAAACAGCAGATAAAATATTGTTGACAGCTAATTGGCAAGCCTTGTCATGTGTCTCCCTCTCTTCTTCAACAAGGATCTCTGGAAGTCTGACCATTGCCTAATATAAGGAAAGAAACAAGTTTTTAAATATGAGTGCATATTCTTGGATAATGGCAAAGGAAATGGGTATTTACCTTCAAACAAGGCTCAGATACAGTTTGAGTAGGCACAATAAATAGGTCAATATCTCTTTTTTCGGGCATAGCATCACATCCAACAGATTGAAAGCATGTAACCTGAATTTCCTGCTCCTACATTTATTTAAAATATAGAAAGTTAGTAATTTACAGGAAAAACAAAACAAAAACCATACAACTATCAATGTAAGAAAAATTTAAGTAAATGTTGTACCTTAGATGACTTGTCCTCTGAAAATACTGAGAAGATAATCCCCACAAAACCCTGATCAAGCATTTGGTAGCTGAGCTGTGTTCGTATATCTGTTTGAGAAATGGATGAAGTTTTCAAATTTAATAATAAATCAGTTTTAATTAAGCCATAAGATATCTGAAACTTGAAATAATCTGCTCACCAACATGAGATGGCCACACAGTTATATGAGGGTGGGAATGATACCAGCCAATCACTCGCATGGGGCGCTTGAGTTCCTCTGCAAGTTTTTCTGCTAATTCTGCTGCTCCACTCAACTGTTCTGGTGAAATTTCAACACGATCTTTCCGTTTATCTGATCTTCGAAGCATCACAAGTGCTGACACACGAGCTTCTTTGTTTTCGTCAATCTAGCAAACAGAAGAAAATAGAATTAGTGACAACTAAGATAGTACAAAGGGCACTGTCACAGTAGAATTATTGAGACCCCAGCAAAGGTACGGCTGAAGTCTTCCTGAGGGTTGTTGTGTAACCTTTCCAAAATCTTCTTGGCGTACGTAGGTTAAAGAAGCTTCTCAAGCTTTCTCAAAAAATATGCCAGTAATGTAGAGAAATAAAGTCACCAAACACATACTAACCTCGCCTATCAGGAGTCCCATAACTTCCTCTTTTTCGGTCGACAAAGCATGTTGAAGGCACACTTTGTAAACGTCGGCATTCATATGAACACACTTAAGGACTTCGTCGTCTATCCTAAATGACATTTCCTCGCTCAAAATTACAGTTAAAAGTAAGTTACGACGATGAAGCGATGGGTGTCTTGTCTGTGGGGCGAGGCGAACAATAATAGAGGTTCACACACAATCGTGCCAAGCTCAAGCTGGCCAATGTTCAAAAACTAAAAAGATCATAGGTCTTGAGGCAAACAAGAAAATAATAGCAAAAAATTATGGCAATAGTTTTAAGAAAGACAAAAATATTACTCTTTACTCCAACAAAGCCCTGATTTAAATGTATAGATGGAGATCTCTTTGCTTAATATCGTTTGTGTAGTTTGTCTCCTGGTGTAGTGTAGTGCCTTCGTCCCCCTCTCTCTCCACCTCCCCAACCTTTCTAGCAGACGCCGACGAAAACGGCCGTGTTTTGAGGAGGTTAGCCGTTCGAAGTGTAATAATCAATTTTTCAAACGTTGAGATCAACAATTAATGAAAAATTTGAACTGTCGCGTGAAATTTAGTTGCACTTTTTAGAATATATCAGGTATGTTTTTAAAAAAAATTATGATTTGAACCGAAACCTTGACATATACCTACTAGTACTTTGGTTATTATATCACTAGTACTTTGGTTACTATATCATTACAATTACTATTTTAATTATTTTAGGCGAGTTAACCACAAAGTTTTTGTTTTGAATAAATTCTGGAACCCGGAGCACTTTTCTGGATGTATTTTGTAGAAATGATCTTACCCTCATCATTGGTTGATTTTCTATAAATCTCCTATTTGTTTCTATTTTTTCTCCTTGATTAATTATTTGGTGGTGTGTTATGTTGCAGGATAATGAGCACATGTGTGTCAGCTGTTTCCAATGGCCTTCGGAAACTTTGGACCCCTCCTGTTTTTCAAGTTCGTTTCCGATTTCACAAGGACAAAATTGAAGCAGGTCCATTGAAGAGAAGATATGGCTACACAGAGCAGGCTATATCCAAGGGTCTATTACCTCATGTTAAACATGAGAAACACATCCCTGGGCGTCAATTCATCCCCGCCGATAATTGGACTCCAAAGAAAGCGTTATTTGGTCAAAATGACTACATAGATATTTTCACTGGTCGCATCCATCCAACTAAAGTCCTCTATGACGTACCTGCTTATCTACGAGGATTCAAGGGAAATGAATTTCAATGCCTGATGAGGAAACAGAAAATGCAGAAGCATGGAGAAATACCTTGGAAATATCCTAGTACATGGAGAGACATGAACAAAAGAATTGGTTGGTTATACAGGTACCTCAATCGGCATACCAGGACTTGGTCGGTCTATAGGAGTCGTATGAACTCGTAGGAACTGCAGCTAACTAAAATATGTTGTGTCCTCTTTCGCTATTTACCATGTATCTTCACAATAAAGTTGTATTAAACCTTTTATAAAATATATCTTTTCACCTTGGCCAT